AACGTTGGATAATTTTCTTTAATGTTTATTCTGTATTCAGAACCAAACCATGCAGCCCCCCCCCCAAAAAAAAAACCCTAAGAGATTTATACTAGAACTCCTGTACTTTTCAATTCTGTGATTTACTGGCAGAGAAGGAAATTTCAACCAAACTATTGACAAGTTTTCAGAAACTATATGATAATGTGGGAAATATTCAAACAAGTTTTAGAAACGTTGGATAATTTTCTTTAATGTTTATTCTGTATTCAGAACCAAACCATGCAGCCCCCCCCCCAAAAAAAAAACCCTAAGAGATTTATACTAGAACTCCTGTACTTTTCAATCCTGTGATTTACTGGCAGAGTAGGAAATTTCACACAAACTATAGACAACTGAAAAGAGGCTTGTAGTGTTTTACAGGTGAAGTCCTAACATTTAAAGTTTTAGTAACACTGGGCATGGTGGCGTACATCTTTAATCCCAGCATTTGGGAGGCAGAGGCAGGTGGATCTCTGTGAGTTCAAGGCGAGCGTGGTCTACATAGTGAGTTCCAGGCCAGCTGGGGCTACAGGGAGACCCTGGCTCAAAAAGACTGAAAAAAAAAAAATTCTAGTAACATGTGGTGGTGTACACCTGTACAGACATTTTTGGAGGCAAAGGCAGGAAGATCTTGGGCTAGAGGCCAGTCTCAAGCCTGGGCTATATAGCAGGACTCTTATCTCAAAATGAAATGAAATAATAGTTACAAGGCATTGTACCTAAGTACAATTAACATTCAAAGTTGTAGTAACATAGCACCTTGCTTCTTCCAAAGTAGTTTGATCTAATTTTTAAAAATATTTTATTTATTATTTTTATTTTATGTGTATGAGTGTATTGCCTGTATGTGAGTGCACCTGTGTCATGCAATGCTGAGGAGGTCAGAAGAGGGCTTCAGATTTCCCTAGAACTGGAGTTAAGGATGGTTTGCAGCCACCATGTGGGTGCTGGGCATCGAACCTAGGTCCTCTGCAAGAGCAGTCAGTGCTCTTAACCGCTGAGCCATCTCTTCATCCTGATCTGTTTTAATTTATTTATTCTCAGAAACAGATTATTGAGGACTAGTCAACTTGAGGTGAGCCCACAATGTGATTGCTAGAGGAGCAGTGCCTATATTTTCCTTTCTGTTTTGGCTTTCTACGTCTGCTCATCCCTTTCACAGAATCACAGTTGGCTTTTCTGTCTATCTCTGGTTTTTGTGTGCTATGCCAAGTATCCTACCCTACTACAGGAAACTTCTAAGTCTAGGCATTAACCAGAACTGTTTTACAGCAGTTGGACCACGGAAGGCATAGACAAAAGATTGTAGGAGATCATCTAAGTCCTATCTTGTAGTTTCAGTTTAGTAGTTCAGAGAAGAGGAAGCCCTGATCACCTTGAGTCTCTGATTCAAGGCTTAAGAGTCCACTGTGTTTTTATCCAAACGTCTGCCTTACATGTTGACATCATATTGAGTGAAAAATAAGGTTTTTTTGTGTGTATATTATGTGCTTTAGGGCTGTTTCTGGCTTAGGCTGTTGCTAGGCTTGTCCCTGCTAATGAGAACACAAGTTAGACAGTCCCCTGAGTGCAGGGGGTTCCAGCAGCCATTTGCCAGAATGATTTTATCCATATCCTTTTTAGCAGTAAAATATTGGAAAGAAAACAATGTCATGTGTCCTTGACTAGAGCTCTTTTTCCATCCCAGCAGGGCCTTTCTTTCCATTGTCCTCAGCCTGATCTTCAGGCTCTTGCAAAGGTATAGATTGAATTTTATAGCAGTTGCAAATGGTGACTGCTAATTCAGTTCCTTACTGTGACAACTCTTCTAGAAAACTTTCTTTTCAACCCCCTTTCTGACAGTTTTATTTATTCTATTTCTTGAAAGGAAAGTCAGAAGAGAAGCTTTTTGTCAGGAAACAACCAGTAAATTCTCTAACCCATCCATATATCCATCTGGCTTTTATTTAATTAACTCTGTCAGGACTGTGTGAGGTGCACTAAAGGAGATTTGAAAACAAAACAGTGAGTGGTCTATAAGCAGTGAATCCCTTATTTATTTTTATTTGCTGCGTCTGAGTATTTTGTCTGTCTCTATATAAGTGTACCACAATTACTGCAGAGACCAGAAGACGTCAGATTCCCCAAGAACTGGAGTTTCAGATCCCCTGGAACTGGAGTTTCAGATCTCCTAGAACTGGAGTTACAGATGGTTGTTAGCTGCCATGTGGAGCTGGGTGCCAAACCCTGGTCTTCTGTAAGAGCAGCCAGTGCTCTTAACTAGTGGGCCATCTCTCCAGCCCTAATCTATGGAATTTGAGAAAGAGAGAGGAATTGTTGTGCACATTTGGAAGTCAAAGGACAACTTGTGGGAATTTGTTCTCTCTTTCCATCTTGTGGGTTCTGGGGATTAAACTTAGGTCATCAGACTCGGGCAGCAGGTACCTTTGCCATCTGAACGATGTCACCTGCCTCTGTTTTATTTTTGAAGATTCTCAGCAGTAGTTTCAATTTGAAAATGTATTAATACAAGAATTTTTCTTCTGAATTTATGAAAGTATGATAAATTAATGTCTCTAATCTAGCAATTTTGTTAATATAATGAATATATGGCCAGGAAGGGTGGGGCACACCTTTAATCTTAGCACTTGGGAGGCAGAGGTAGAGGCAGGCAGATCTCTGAGTTCAAATTCAGCATGCACGCTCTATATTTGAGTTCCAGGTCAGCCGGGGCTCCGGGGAGAACCTGTCTCAAAAAACAAAACATATGATAAGAGCAAAGTATAACGACATGTGTGAAAATGAATAATGAAATCCATTACTTTGTATGCTAACTTAAAACATTCATTTCAAAATGTAGCATAAAAATAAATAAGATTATAAGTTATTTGGCTTATGTGTCTATTGGGATGCTAGTATTTTTATTACAAATTTTTGTGTTTGTGGCATAATCAATTGTTTCTTCAGTTACTATTATTATTTTTTCCTGAGACAGAGTCTCATTGTACAGATTTCAGCTTCTCTTCTGAGGGTTAGAATCACAGACTGTAACCAGCCTGGTTTTTCCCCAGTTTTCTTTGCCTTTTTATTTCTATTTTTGGGGTGGTACTGGGGATTAAAGGTAGGACCTAGTGCTTAGGCAGGTACTGTATCACTCAGAAACACCTTGTCCTTGTTTGTCTCTAATTTAAACTTCTGTGGATACATTAGCAATGGGTTTCTGTAGTTACAGGTACTCCAGAGGCTGTGGCAGGAGGATTGCTTCAGCCCATGAGTTTAAGAAAACTAGACTCTGGACTCTTAAACGAAAAAACAAAACAAAACAAAAAACCCAACCAAATACCCCAAACAACAAAATAAAAATTCTTGCACCAATAAACTTATAAATGTTTTATTTTAGTTTTCTGTATCTCACTTTTTTTTTTTCCATTTGGCTTTTTAAAGATTTATTATTTTGCTCAAACAAACCAGGTGATGTCTAATGTTTTGGACTTTTCAGTATGGTGAAAAATGTGAAGATAATGTCAGCCTTTTATAACTTGAGTGGAATAATTTTAAGCTAAGAGTTCTTACTCTGGGCCACAAAGCCAATGAAATTCCTGAAATTATATGTAAAATATAAATATATGAACATTTGGGACATATAGTCTATAACTTTCCGTAGACATTCAAGAGATTCTGTTGCTCAAAAATTCTTTAAAGGGCCAGCAAATGACTCAGTGGGTGAAGGCACTGGTTATCAAGCTTGATGACCTGAGTTTCAACCCTAGGGCCCATGATGGAAGGGAGAGAACTGACTTCCTCAGGTTGTCCTCTGACCTTCACATGTGCACCATGGCACATTCCCCCATGTGTATCACATCATGCGTACACACACACACACAATGTTAAAAAACATTTTTTTTTAAGTGGTTAAGGGCCAGGCATACATAGTGGCACATGTCTTTATTGAACTTAGCATGGAGTCAGAGGCAGGTGGATCTCTGAGTTCAAGGTCAGCCTGGTCAGCATAGGGATTTTTGAGGCCAGCTAGTGCTACACAGTGAGACCCTGTCTCAAAATAATAATAATAAAAAAGTGGCTAGACCTATTGCTATAAGAACTTCAGTTATCCACATTTCTGTTAGAAAATAGATACAATTAAACTTTATCTCCCACTTTCCTGAACTCTTGTGAGAAATATTCAGTAGGAAAAAAAAGATAGTTTTTGTTTCCTTTTATCTGTAGCAATCCCTTCCCTGCTTTCAAGAAACCACAGAAGAATTCATTGTCCCAGGACTGGAGAGATGGCTCAATGGTTAAGAGTGCTGGCTGCTCTTGCAGAGGACCCAGGTTCGGTTTCCAGCACCCACATGGTGGCTAACAACCATTGGTTACTCCAGTTTCAGGGGATCCAACACCCTTTTCTGACCTCCACAGGCATTGCATGACACAGGTGAGCTTACATACATGCAGGCAATACACTCATAGACATAAAAAATAAAAATAAATAAAATATTAAAAAGAGAATTCATTAGCCCATCAAAAAATAAAGTTGAAGGGGGAGAAAAAATAAAAGTTTTTTATTTCTTCTTTTTCCTTAGGAATTTTTTCCTTTCAAAATTTTAGTTAGTTGTTTCCATACTCCTTCCTTAATGCCTGAGCCTGGAAATTCACCATAGATTCTGAAACTAGAGAAGACCATCAGCTTCTGCAGTTAAGATGTTGGCTGCAGTTTCAATGGATTTTCTTGGACTTCGTAAGGAGTAACTTGTGGGGGGTAGAGTCTGAGGTTCATGATGCTGTCAGCTGGTTCTGTCACCCTGATTAGAAAAGGTGGCATTTGTACTCAGCATTTGAAGTTCCAGCTCACGATCTGAGCTGGCCAGAGTGGCTATGTGTGGAAATGGATCTTAAAAGAGTGTTGTTGTATTTGATTTAAACCTGCTCAGGGACAATGGAAGTTAAAATCTGTAGGGACAGTTCTGACCCTCATCTCCTTTTGTGTACCTCTTGTGTAGGTGGATGGAAGCGTGCCTAGGGGAGGATCTGCCACCCACTACAGAACTAGAGGAGGGGCTTAGGAATGGAGTTTATCTGGCCAAACTAGGAAACTTCTTCTCTCCCAAAGTGGTGTCCCTGAAAAAAATCTATGATCGAGAACAGACCAGATACAAGGTGAGTTCTTTGCTTGGTGCTTAGATTTCTGTGAGCTTGAGAGAAGTTAACATACATGGTTCTGTGTGACATCTGTTGAGAAATATGTGTAAGGTACGCACTTATTCCAACAAACCACAACTTCCAAAAAGCGTGGCAGAATGGAGAAAATAATGCAGAGGCGAAATATTGTAGTAAAACAACTTCAGCTGTTTGCATTTCTGGTCAGAGCCTCACAACAATGGTGTTTATCTAGAAACTCTCAGTCCTAGATGAAATTTTATTTTCATTCCTAGAAAGTTGAGGAAGCAACTAGGGGAATTACCACTCTAAATCTGATTTGAAACAGGCACTAAAGTATAGCTATAACAACTTTTGGGGAAAAACATTACAATGTTGGTATGCAAGGTAAAATGTAAAAGCCACTTAATTTCAGGAAACTTAGATAAGTGAGCAGATTTGATTACTATGGGGCATACCCTAAAAAAGATTTGTGCTGGATAGCTTTAGTGTCAACTTGACACACCTGGGTTGAAGGAGCCTCAGTTGGGGAATTGTCTCCATTGGACTGGCCTGTGGCCATGTCTGTGGGGCATTTTCTTGATTGTTGAATGATGTGGGAGGGCCCAGCCCACAGTGCCACCCCCCACCCCTGGGCAAGTGGTCCCGTATTGTATAAGAAGGCAGGCTGGGCCTGGGAAGAGATGCAGTGATCCTCCATGGCCTGTGCTCCAGCCCCTGCCTCCAGGTTCCTGCCCTGATTTCCTAACTTGGGCTCCCTGATGAACTGTGACCTGGGAGATGTAAAACAAAGTTGGTAGTGGTCAGAGTGTTTTGTCACAGCAATGAAGAAACAAACTAAGACAAGACTCTTGGGAAACCCCTTCAGCGATGAGCTTACCAGTAGATTCTTTCATTGATGAGATTAGTACTCACATTGCACTTGCCTCCCTACACTACTGGCTGGGGACTAAACCTTCAGCCCATGGATACATTCCAGATCCAGAAGACAGCAGGATCCTAAACAGAAACTTCTTAAAAAAGAAAGGTTTGCTAGACACAGTGGCACATGCCTTTAATTCCAGCACTCAGGAAGCAGAGGCAGGCAGATCTCTATGAGATCAAGTCTAGCCTGGTCTACATAGGCCAGAGGGGCTACAGGAAGACCCAATCTCAAAGAACAAAACAAAAACAAAAATAGAGAAAGATTCATATGTTCAATTTTAAATAACCGGTTATTTTAAAGACATCTTTGGAGCTGTTCATGTAAATAGAATAACAACATACTAGTATAGAGATTTATTTTTTTGACTCACTTTGTAGCCTGGAATTTGTTATAATTCTCCTGCTTCTGCTTCCTCCAGGGATTACAGCTATGTGCTGCCATGCTTGGCCTTATATTAATTAAAAAAAATATATTTTTTTATGTGTATGAGTGTATTTATTGCCTGTGTGTGTGTGTAAGTGCACCTATGTTGTGCACTGCCTGCAGAGGACAGAAGAGAGTGTTGAATCCCCTGGAACTGGACTTATGGATAGTTGTTAGCCACCATGTGAGTGCTGGGATTCAAACCTGAGTCTTCTGCAAGAACAGCCAGTGCTCTTAATGTTGAGCCAGCTCTTCAACCCCTATGTTAATTTTTAAAATATGATTTGCAGTAGTGAGTAAAAAAAAAGTCCTATTTGTATTTTCCTCTTAAACTAGTCTTGCTCAGAACTAATAGAGACATAGGGGTTGGGCACATAGCTCAGGGGTAGAGCTCTTGACTGGCATGCCTGAGGCCCAGGTTTGATTCCCCCAGCACTGTCTTTAAAAAAAAAAGGCTGACAGATGTTTGCAGAGGATTATTTCTAAGTATATTATGAAAGCCTTAATTGGTTTATTTTATAATAACTGTCATTTTTTGACTATTCAAACACCACACTAACCTACTCATATGATCTTCACAACAGACAAAGTGTTAGAGATGGAGACACTCAGGCTGAAAGGGCTAATGACTTGTCCACTGTCACCAGTAGATGGCCTAGCTGAGAATGGAGTCCAAGATAATGTAACTCCAGAGACCATACTGTTAAGCGCACTACCCAAGGAGGTTCTCCAGGCAGTTTCTAAGTGAGAGAAGTGAGATGTTTAACTTCTTGGTATTGCTGTGGGAGCATAGTGACCTTTAAGAAGATGCTGGAAAATCTCATAAGGACACTTTGCAAGAAGAGTTTTTATTGAGTATTTGCCAACAGTACCTAATGCTCTCGTGTTTCTTCTAGGCAACTGGCCTCCACTTCAGACACACAGATAATGTGATTCAGTGGTTGAATGCCATGGATGAGATTGGATTGCCTAAGGTAACTTACCTGATGCTCACGCTTCCAGCACTTTTGTCATAATGATTCTCATTCAGCCTGGAAATTATTCTCGAAACCTTAATTAATTAATTAATTAATTAATTAATTTGGGTGTTTGGCTTGGTTTGGTTTGGTTTAGTTTTGACATTGTCTCACACTATAGCCCAGGCTGGCTTTCAAAATCCTTCTGTCTTAGCCTGAGAGTACTAGGGATTACAGATGTGTGTCAATATAACTCTTTTTCTTTTCTTTTCCTTTCCTTTCTTTTTAAGTATTAGATCTCTTTTCTTCAGTTTGATTTAGGAAAATACTTTATTCTTTTTTATACTCCTTGTATTTGTTTCACCCCACTCTAGAGAAATTCTCTATAATATTTACTTTGCTACATCAGTTGTAGCTTTACATTATTGTGTATTCTTTTTATTTTCTTTTGTTGTTGTGCTAGAGATCAAACCTAGGGCCTTGCACATGCTAGTTAAGTTCTCTACCCTCCACATTTTCCACCCTTGCTTTTTGTAGAGGTTCTTACTATATAGCACAGACTGATTTTAAAGGTCCACCAGTCTGAACCTCTTGAATGCTGGGATTGTAAGTGTGTACCATCATGCCTGCCTAATATACATTAACATGCTTTTAAAAAAAATATATTATGAGGTTCACCATTTTTAAAGTGTATAAGCAGAGAGCTGGAGAGATGATTCAGTAGTTAATAGTGCTTAACTACTCTTACAGAGGACCCAGGTTCAACTCCTAGCACCCACATGGCAGATGACAATTGGCTGTAACTCTCATTCCTGGAAATTTGCTGCCTCTTCTGGCCTCCATGCATATGTGGCGCACATAACCTCATGTAGACACCTCCCCCACCCCACACACACATAAATTAAAAATATCACTGGGTACAGTGGTGCACACCTTCAGTATCAGCACTGGGGAGGCAGGGGCAGGCAGATTTCTATGCTATCAAGCCCAATCTGGTCTATATAGCAAGTTCCAGGCCAGCCGTGGGTACAGGGAAACCCTGTCTCAAAAAACCAAAATAAATAAATAAATATTTAAGTACTTATTCACAAAGTTGTTACATTAAAGATCTAAGGGGCTGGAGACATGACTCAGCAGTTAAGAGCACTGGCTGTTCTTGAAGAGGACTCAGGTTCCATTCCCAGCACCCACATGGTGGCTAACAACCATCTGTAATTCCAGCTCCAGGGGATCCAGTGCCCTCCTCTGACCTCCTTAGGCATTGCACAATACAGTTGCACATACATATATGCAGGCAAAATACACAAAAAATACAAATAAATAAATAAAAATTTTTTAAAAATCTGGCCTTAGCAAATATAAGGGAATATTTTAGAGATGTCATCTTCCAGCTTCAAAGTTAACCAAATCTGTAGAGAATATGAAAATTACTGCACATTTTGAGTTGTTGAAACAATATAACAACACTTTTGGTGATGGCTGTAGTTTTAATATGGCAGTGAGCATTCTCTGAGTGTTTTGTTTAGGAATTTATTTAGTGTAGCTCTTAGTGAAGTTGCCATCTCTATCTTACCTAGTAGTTATCCGTAGGGGCTATACTGTACTGCCACTCTTAGAGACATTTCCCTTCCTCCATCCTTCACTCCTTTCTGTCTTTGACCTAGAAACTCTACTTCAGGAATTTATACCCCTGCCCCCAATAATAAAATAGGCTCAAAAATTATATAAAATAATTTCAGGGGCTGGAGAGTTGCCTCATCCGTTAAGAGCATTTACTGCTCTTCCAGAGGACCCCAGTTTGGTTCCCAACACCCACATGGCTGCTAACAGACATCAGTAACTTCAGGGGATCCGATGCCCTCTTCTCTATATGTATACTTAACATACATGCAAGCAAAACACCTATACACGTAAAATGAAAACATTTTTAAAAAGGAAATTATTTTTCTTTTTCTATTTTTTGTTTTATTTTTACTTATTTTTTAATATTTTATTTATATTTATTTTATGTATATGAGTGTATTGCCTGTGTGTATGTGAGTGCACCCGTGTCATGCAATGCCACGGAGGTCAGAAGAAGGCTTCAGACTCCCCTGGAACTGTAGCTAAGGACAGTTCATAGCCACCATGTGGGTGCTGGGAACGAACCCGGGTCCTCTGCAAGAGCAGTCAGTGCTCTTAACTGCTGAGTCCTCTCCAGCCCCTTGTTTTTTTTTTTTTTTTTTTGAGGCAGGGTCTCCCTGTAGCCCCAGCTAGCCTAGAGCTCACTATGTAGACTAGGCTGGACTCAATCTTACACTGCCTTCTGAGTGCTGGGATCCAAGGCATGTACCACCATGCCTAGCTCAAAAAAAAAAAAAAAAAAATCCGTAAGAACATTTTTTTCACTCTAATCTATACAAAGTTTTTCAATGTAATCCTGTTAATTTTTTAAAAAATTTTTTTGGTCTTTTTGAGACAGGGTCTCCCTGTAGCCCTAGCTGGCCTGGAACTTGCTTTGTAGACCAGGCTGGCCTTGAACTCACAGAGATCTATCTGCCTCTATCTCCTGAGTGTTGGGATTGAAGGCCTATGGCAGCACACCTAGGCCCAATTGTGTTATTTTTTTTAAAGAAAGCAATGCTAATGAAATATTTTAAAATATAAAAAATTTTTCAGCAGGGTTTATGGAAGAAAATAATTTATATCAAACTGTATGTTCCTTCTTTGGGGCATTATTTATGTTAGAACCAGTCAAATACTAGTGCTATTAAAATTGTTTTGTTTTTTATTTTTAAGAAATATGGGGCTGAAGAGATGGCTCAGCAGATAAGAACACTGACTATAAAATGTTTTATTATTTTTATTTTTATGTGTATGCGTGTATTGCCTGCATGTAGGTAAGGGCACCTGTGTTGTGCAATGTCTGTGGGGGACAGAAGAGAGCATCAGATCCCCTGGAATTGGAGTTACAGACAGTTGTTAGCTGCCATGTTGGTGCTGGGATTCGAACCCAGGTCTTCTGTAAGAACAGCTGGTATTCTTAACCGCTGTGCTATTTCTCTAGCCTCTGGGTTTTTTTTTCGTTTGTTTGTTGGTTTGTTTGTTTGTTTGTGTTTGTTTTGTTTTTGTTTTGGGGTCTCCCTGTAGCCCCAGCTGTTCTGGAACTCACTATCTAGACCAGGCTGGACTTGGAACTCACAAAGATCCAGCTGCCTCTGCCTCCCAAGTGCTGGGACTAAAGGTGTGAGCTACCACGCCAGGCTGTTTTTAAATTTTTAATTTATTTTTGTTTTATGTTTATGAGTGGGTTTTGTTTTGTTTTTTGTCTTTTTTTGAGACAGGGTCTCCCTGTAGCCGCAGCTGGCCTGGAAATTGCTATGGAGACCAGGCTGGCCTTGATCTCACAGAGATCCATCTTCTTCTGCCTCTTAAGTGCTAGGATTAAAGGTGTGGACCACTAAGCCCGGCTGTTTATGAGTGTTTTGCCTGCATGTATATAAGTACACTCATGTATGTAGTGCCCACGGAGAAAAAAGACATCACATCTTCTGGAACTAGAGTTGAGAAGGGTTGTTAGCCACTATGTCAGTGCTGAGAACCAAAACCTGGTCCTCTGCAAAAGCAGCCAGTATTCTTAACCACTGAGCCATCTCTCCAGCCCTTAAAACTGTTTTTGATGTATTAAGCAAAAGGAGGGGAACCAGTTTGAGATTATAAGAGCTTGTTTCTGACTATAATGAGATTGCTATTTTTGTGTAAAAATGAAGTGGGTGCTCTTATGGAAAATCTGTAAGGAAATACTTTTCTGTGTGATGGGATTAAAGGGATGGTTTTTATTCTCTGTATACTTTCCTGTAAAGTCCCAAGTTTTTGTAACTAAGGAAGGAATAAGAATAGAAGATGTGGAGTGTCAGAAAGTGGCTAAACTCACATGGTACTTAGTATTTGATATTATTCCAGTGCTAAGCTCTTTGCTATATACATATTTGTTGAGCTGAGTTAAATCCAGATCTGACTCTTAGTAAAATACCTCACTTTTTTCCCCCAGCAAAGTGCTTAAATTTTCTTCTTTGTCATCGTGTGTTTAAGACTGGTTCCCATAAATGTCAGGAAATGCATTACATCAAGTTCTTATGGTTACTTTGCCTTTCCATACACCTGTAACTTCCTGTTTCTGTTTTTCCTTTAGTGTTGTCACTAGCGGGCAGTAGCAATTTAAACTCCTTTGAATGGTATTCAGACCTGTATTAGTGTTTGCTTTTGCTAGTAGTATCGTTAGTACAAAGTGCCCCCTCCCCCCCTCATTTTTAGGGTGGTACTAGAGATTGAACTCAGGCAGTCATGCATGTAAGAACAGTGCTCTTCCTTTGAGCCATATCCCCAGCCCTCTGTATTTTTAATTTTAAAATAGAGCTACTAAGTTGCCCATGTTGTCCTTCAACTCACTCTATAGTCTAGGCAGGCCTTGAACTTGCTTTTCCCCTACCTTGGCCTCAAGATTTTGGAGATATCCTGGATTGCTAATCCACTCCCTCCCCAAACTCTGAAATAACCTCTTTTGTCTATTCACAATTATGACAACAGGAGCTAGCCTGGTTCTCTAACTCCTATCTCTTGTCAGATTTTTTTTTTTTGTCCTTTTGAGACAGGGTCTCCTTGTAGCCCCAGCTAGCCTGGAACTCACTATATAGACCAGGCTGGCCTTGAACTCAGAGATCTGCTTGGCTCTGCCTCCCAAGTGCTGGGATTAAAAGCGTGCACAACCTGCTTGGCTTCCTATCAAATCTTCTTAAAGCTCTGCTTTTGTCCTCTGCTCCAAAGCTTTGTGTCCTACTTGCACAGTTTATGTTTAATATTTTATCATTTTCCAATGCTAATATATATATATATATCTATATATATATCAGTTCATACATGAAAGCATTTAGTGTTGTCATCTAGACATGGTTGATGGTAAACTACGAAGCTTGTGGTTCTTTTAAGCTCATGCATTTACTAGTGATTTAAAGTAGACTAGAAGCTGGGTTTCCTTTGCCTGTATCTGGTCTAAAATAAGTAAACCACCTTTTCCACACCTAATGAAACTGGCAGGATGCCCACAGAGGTTTTTTTTCTAAATGTATTATAGCATTTTATTCCTTGTAGTATTTATAATTAAATGTCTGGTTACCCTAAAGAAAGATTTTGTTGTTGTGTTTTGTTTAAGTAGGGGTTGGAACTAGGGCCTTTGCATGCTAGGCTAGCACATAGCTATGCCCCTAGCTCTAGTAGAATCATTGACATTTGAGGAATGATGGAATGAAACCAGCAGGTAGGTAACTTACTCTGCATCTTTTTTATTTCTCCCTAGATTTTTTACCCAGAAACCACAGATATTTATGATCGAAAGAACATGCCAAGATGTATCTACTGTATCCATGCACTCAGGTAACCAGAACTTCTTGGTAAAATAAGTAATTTCAGGATCATATCTCAATTGAATGTATATCTTTTTTGTCCATTTTGTAAGAATGAAAAAGATTATACATTATCTTCAGGATTTTGAAATGGAATAAAAGGCTATTATCCTTGGAAAATGGTGAGAAACAGCTGTCTTTTTCTAGGGAGTAGAGAGAAGGGATTTATTTATTCCCATAATAACACATTTTGTGGTTAAAAACATGGTATAGTTCAGGCGTGGTGGTGCACACCTTTAATCCCAGCACTTGGGAAGCAAAGGCAGGTGGATCTCTGTGAGTTCAAGGCCAGCCTGGTCTACATAGTGAGTTCCTGGACAGCTGGGGCTACAGGGAGACCCTGTCTCAAAAAGACCCTCCCCCCCAAAAAACATGGTATAATCTTTCATTATTGATCTCGTGTCTTTGTGAACCCTGCATCTTACTCAGGGTGCAGCCTTCTTTTATTTAGTAATCTGGGCCCTTGCCATTGTTAGGCCATTTGTTCATTCATTAAATAATTTTTATTTATTTTAAAATATTTACTGTTTTTATTTTATGTGTATGAGTGTATTGCCTGCATGTAAGTAAGTGCACCTGTGTCATGTAATGCCAGCAGACTTCAGAAGAGGCCATTGGAGCCCCTGGAACTGGAGTTATGGATGGTTGTTAGCTGCCATGTGGGTGCTGGGAACTGAACCAGGATCCTCTGCACGAGCAGCCAGTGCTCTTAACCACTGAGCCATTTCTCCAGCTCCATCCATTAAATAATTTTTTTAAAAATTTATGATTTTCACCTTATGTGTATGTGTATATTGCCTGATGTAGGTAAGTGTACCTGTATCGTGTAATGCCCGTGGAAGTCAGAAGAGGCTGTCAGATCCCCTGGGACTAGAGCCACGGACAGCCATTAGTGGCCATGTGGGTGCTGGGATTTGAATATGGGTCTTCTTCAGAAGCAACCAGTGTTCTTAACCACTGAGCCATCTCTTCAGCCCCCCTAAATAATTTTTATGCCAACTCAAATATGATAGGAAGTGGAGTCAAATTTAATTCACAAAAAATTTGGAAAATTACTTAATTTCAAGTTCCTACTTCTTACAGTCAGCAAGGTACTAAACTAGAAAGGAAAGTGCTATGTCTGGAGGGCAGGTAGGGTGAGATAGGGTGAGATAGGAAGGAAATAGATGCTTATCATACACTATAGTAGTAGAGAGTAGTATTTCAACAAATGTACTTCATGGCTGTAGGACTAAAGGAGAAGGTGGCAGTGGGGCATGAAGATGACATTGGTTTGATTGCCCTTTTTATAAAGTGTATGGTAGGTGTGCTTAATGCATGTTAATTTTATGAGTGAATGTACATATAATGTAGATCTCTAAGAAGCCCGTTAATCCCAACTTGTACCCAGGACCTCGCACATGCTAAGCAGTCATTCTACCACTGAGTTGCTCTCTCAGCATTGGCTCCAGGTTTTTGATGTGTGCTAGATATATATCACGGGAACCGTGAAACATGCAGAAGTGTAAATAGCAGATTAGTGGCCTTCTTGTGTTGAGAACGAAACAACTTCAAATGCATGTGTCTGAGCCAAAACCTGATTAATTCTGAGCTTTGTGATTGGCTTTGTGTTGCATGAGGTCTGTCTGTGTTGATAACCCTGTGAAGGCTGTAACTACAATGTCTGAACTTTGCCTGCACAGAGGCTAAACTGGCAGAATTCCTCTCTGCTCCCTCTGTAGCCTCTAATGTAACCTGGGTCCCAGGCTCTCAGTGTTTTGAAATACAGATAAAGAATTAACTGTACCTTTCTAATGAAGGAATCAGAAGGACAAAGGGAGGAAGCCTACTATTTTCTATTTCTCTTGTATATGCAATATGTGCTTAGAAGGTATATACAGAGCAATGTGTTCTGACTGGGATTGGTAGTTTGTGTTTTCCTGAAAGGTAAGTTGGCAATACCTGACAGTGCATAGGAAGTGGGTGTTAACTACTTAGAGCCTCTTTTTCTGTAAAACACAACTGCTTTCAAGGCACACTGTGTTGGGTGAGGCATCATCTTCCTTTGCATCAACAGCAGCAGGGAGCAACCTCCCCGCAACTGTTAGGCAGTGCTGAGGGTCATGTGTACCTCCTTGCCTGTACTAAGCAGTGCTCTCTTTCTGAGCTGGCCCTTACCACCTCCCTTTTAGAACGTTGTGACTGGCCTTATTCCAGAGGTAGTGATTGTACTTGCACTCTACTAAATCCTGTGAGAGCATTTCATTTTTATGTATGCTCTCCTTTCTTTTCCCCTAATGGTTTACATTTCCAAGAACTGATTTTAGTTTGGAGTTAGAAAGATTAGGAGTTCAAGGCAATCCTCAACTACATAATGAGTTCCCTGCCAGCTAGGGCTGCATACTGTGAGACCCTGCCCCCCATCCCCAAATCAAAGCAGATCAAAAGAGAAATCACTGATTTTGGTGTTAATAGGCCCATAATCCCTTACCCTCTATTAAGAAAAATAGAAACCCTTAATATTTGTGAAAATTGAGTTTAGGTTTAGTATGAACTCATTTGTTGGCAAAATCTGATAAGAATTAATTGAAATTGTTTAGAATATTTATCTATAGAGTATGATTATTTTTATGTTTCTTTCCAGAAAAGTAATGTATTTGATCAAGGATGGTACCCCGGGGCATTGTGAGGCTGCTTTATGTTAGAAATAAAATCTGAGGCAAGGACCCCATCAATACCATACAAAAGAACATGCTGACAAAGCTAAAGTAACTTGGCAAGGCAGATTTTACTTTTGAAAAGAGTGCCTTGCATGGTCAGTCAGATCCAGCAAGCACACCGGACCTGGAAGCTTGGTGGGCTTTTATCCCTAACACAAGAAGACTGTGTCTTTTCCCCATTGGCTGGGGTCCATCCTCATAGTCTTTCCTGGTGGCTAGTTTAAAAGAATCAATGCTGAAGGGAGAAAAGCTCTACTGCACCAGGCCATCAGGCTCAGGAATGCATCAGGGGCTTTCCTTAAACAAAAATCTTACAGGATCTGGCAGAATTAGAAGATTAGAATTCCTTGTCATAAAACAAGTTCCAAGTTTTACAGGGTTTGAAAGAAATAACTAATATTTAATGTTTCTTATAGTTATAATTCCATATTGTACAACCTTTCTAGTATTTGAGAGATTCTATATTGAAACATATCTGTCTATTTGTTTGTGGAAGAGGCTCTTCAGGTGTGCCATGGTACATATGTTGAAGTCAAAGGACAACTTGGCTGGAGTTAGTGCTCTCCTTTATAATGTGGGTCCCAGGGATGGAATTCTTTCTTCAGTCTTTCTTTTTTTTTTTTTTTTTTTTTTTTTCTTTTTTTTTTTTTTTTTTTTTTTTGACATTTTTTACTCTCTTATTTTGTGTGTGTATAGCAGGGGTGCCACAGTACACAGATGGTAGAGGACAACTTTTGGGAGTTGGCTCTCTCTACCATGTGTCCCAGGGGTGGAACTCGGGCTTGGCAGCAAGCACCTTTACCTGCTGAGCTATTTCACTGGCCCAAGTGTTTCTGTTCCTTATCCCCTTTCATCTGAGAGCAGCAGCAACTGCAGCTGGCCTTCCTCTTTTGCATTTTCTTTTCTAGTTTGTACCTGTTCAAACTGGGCCTGGCTCCTCAGATTCAAGACCTGTATGGAAAGGTTGACTTCACAGGTAAGGAGTAACAGAGGCTTGGCAGGAAATGTTTGATTTATGTGGTAATCACCTGCAAAGTCAACAATACCTATTTTAAAGGAAGACCGCTTTTAAAAAAAATACTCTTGCAAAGGAAGATGAAAGAAATATAACTAAATTACTTCTTTTAATGTAGAAGAAAGAACATTCAACTGGCAATTTCAAACACTGTTCTTTGACTTGCGATGTGGGGATGATTGATAAATTTAGTTTTCTTTAAAAAAAATTTTTATTTGGCCAGTCATGTTGGTGCACACCTCTAATCCCAGCACTCAGGAGGCAGAGGCAGGTGGATTGTATGAGTTCCAGTCCAGCTTGGTATACATAGTGAGTTCAAGGCCAGCTGGAGCTATAGCGAGACCCTGTGTCAAAAAATATATATTAATTTTTATTTTAAATGTATAAGTGTTTTGTCTGCATGTATGTAAGTACATTCATTTGTGCAATGCCCATGGGGGCCGGAAGAGGGCATCGGATCCCCTAAACTGGAATTACAGACAGTTGTCCACCATATGGGTATTGGGAACGAAACCTGGGTCTTCTGTAAGAGCAGCGAGTTCTCTTAACCACTGCGCCATCTCTCCGGCCCCGAATTTAGTTTTTTTATGTATATATAAATGTTTGATAACAGTAACATGTAAGATATAAAATGGTATTATTAGCAAATAACATTAAATCCTTATGTGTGGAGGGAAAATAAACTATAAAATAAAGTCTTAACTAATATGTACCTGTTAAGACCGAGTAAGGGCAAGAGTGGAGAGTGACATGTTTCAGAGATGACAGTTTAGTGATCTTAAAGTTTAAGCTTCTTTGAGTACATGTTTCTCTATGTATTAGCCCATTTTTTGTTAGTATAACAGAATACCTTATAAAGAAAAGAGTTTTGGAGACTGAAAATCCAGGATTAGGCAGCCCTGTTGGCTTGGCCTCTTGTGAGAACTAGCAACAGGTGACTGGTGGGAGCACATATGTGGAGAGATTGTTTTGCCAGACAGGAGCCAGAAAGTTGGGTGGGACTAGGCTTCCTTGCGAGAGCTGTGACAACTAAAAGTTCCTTCAGAACAACCTTAATCCCATCTGAAAGCTGTCTCCAGTGGTCTAGGGACCTCCCACTAGACCCATCACTTAAAGGAATCAGTATCTCTCACAACCCCACAGTGAGGACTGGGCCGCCAAACATATGGGGGATAAGCCACTCCTGAAACCATAGCACTATGTTTGCTCTAGTTGGATGCTTGAAGAGATGGAAGCTTTGGGAGAAAAGGACAGTGAGTATTGGTTAGGAGTGAAATAGATTCAGATCTTTCAACTGGTGATTATTTTGTAGGACTGGCAGTTTGAAAATTGGTAATAAAGCTTTTTACCTATGATAATTCCCTTCTAGGAAAATCATTCACCAAACTAAGGGCAAAGGTCAAAGCTTACATGTTCTTTTCTTTATCATTTGGCTTTCTGCCTTAGAAATGCAGTTGTTGAGTAGCAGCTAATGATTTGGCTTATAAAGACTAAGATAACTGTTTGTGACCTAGTCATTGAGCTCCTTTAAAGTTCTAAAATTCATTTATTCACTCATGAGTTTACTGTAGGAAATGCCATAAATAGCAGTTTTTTAAAACTATATCCTATAGAGCTTTCTTGCTTTATAGTTATGATTAATACTGTTGATACTAGTAAGTTAGTGTTTATTGATGGCTTGTCATATAGCAGGTACTGTGCTAAGTACCTCCTTACAACAACCTTTGGAGGTAGATGCCGTTTCATCCCATTTTATATTTGAAGAATCTGATCTTTCTCTGAGTTATAAAAAGGTGCTTGACATGCTTGACTGAGTCTCGATTCTTTTCTATAGAGGAAGAAATCAACAACATGAAGATCGAACTAGAGAAGTATGGGATCCAGATGCCTGCCTTCAGCAAGATCGGGGGCATCCTGGCCAATGAGCTCTCAGTGGATGAAGCTGCCTGTAAGGAGAGAGCTTTTGTGGTTTCAGATAGGTTTAACAATTTGCTGGGAATCTTGGACAGGAACAGTTTTCCTAGCAAGTTTCTATTGATAGTTGTAGTCTTAAACACTGCTCCAATTTTCTATGCTATTGTGGTTTGGAAATATATTATTGATTTTGGTTAAAAGCATTTAAAAAGTAAGTCCTACATTTCAGTGCTTTTTTGAGTTCTTTTTCTTATGAAAAAGGGTAAATATTAAATATTAACAAGGATAAATATTTTCTATAGCAAGTGTTCTTTGCCACATTTTCTTATGAACATATCAGTGTGAAATTGCAAATTCCACATGGATTATAGACAGAGCTGCAGCTTATGTATCATGAGGAAGAGATGACGTGTGTTAGGACTCAGGCTGTTCCTCTAGCTATGTTTGTTATTTTTCTCCCTGTGGAAAGGAGCCTTTCTGTCTAACAGCTGGTTGCAATATTATTTTGTATGTATAGTGTATCTCCATTACTCTATAAACTCAGTGCTCTGTGCTTTGATTTTTTTTTTATAGTACATGCTGCTGTTATTGCTATTAATGAAGCTATTGATCATAGAGTTCCAGCCGACACCTTTACAGCTTTGAAAAATCCCAATGCCATGCTTGTAAATCTTGAAGAGCCCCTGGCTTCCACCTACCAGGATGTACTTTACCAAGCCAAGCAGGACAAAATGGCAAATGCTAAAAACAGGGTAAAAACGAGACATCTTTTAAATTAGTTTGTATTCTTGTGTCCTTTAGTAAGGCTGTTTTAAAAATCATTTTATTGAAGTGTAACCTATATCCAATACAGTTAACTAATTTTAAGTGTATGGTTGCATTTTGACAAATGAGTATGTGCTTGTTCAACCATCCTTGCAAAGAGTTTCCTGGTGCCCATTTGCAGTCACTCCAACTCCAGGCAGCCACCATTCTCTTTTCTTTATCATTGCATATTACCTTTTCTTTTCTTTCCTTTCTTTTTTTTTTTTTTTTTTTTTTTTTTTTTTTTTTTTTTCTTTCTTTCTTTGGTCTTTTTGAGACAGGTTCTCCTTGTAGCCCCAGCTGTCCTGGAACTCACTATGTAGACCAGGCTGACCTTGAACTCACAGAGATCTGCCTGCCCTGCCTCCTGAGTGCTGGGATCAAAGGTGTGTGCCACCACTCCCGGCCTGCATATTACTTTTTCTGGAATTTCACATGAATGGAATGACTTAGTATGTAGTCTTCTGGCTTTAGATTTGTTTTCCTTTCTGGTTTTCTTCCTGAATTCTTTTGTGCATGAAACTTGGGTATGTCCATTTAAAATCAGTTTGAATAGTTTTCTTTTGAAAGATGATCTCCAAATATAAATATGGCCCTTCTCTATTCCCAGCTTCTCTGGGGTGAGATGTTTATTTACCACTGTTACAAGTATGTGGAAGTTAGTTGAATGATTCTAACTTGAAAAAATTGAAGCTGAGAATTTCATTTAAGACTACACAGCCAAGCATGGTAGCATATCCCTGTAATCCCAGCACTTGGGAAGCAGAGGCAGGAAGATTACTGCAAGTTTGGGTCTACACAGTATGTTCTAGGCTATTCTGACCCTGTCTCAAAAAACAAAAATGTCCTGGCAAAGATGGCTCAGCGAGTGAGACACTCAAGGTTGATGACCTAAGTTCAATCCCCAGAACCCACATAAAGGTAGAAGGAGAGAACCAGCTCCACAAAGTTGTCCTCTGACCTTCACATACACCCACACACATCATGGTTGTGCACACAGATACACACATGCAACTTAAAACAAAACCAAATCCTTTCCTTGTATCCTTTTTCTCCCTCAGAGAAGGAAATAACAACAGCAAAAAAGAGAGGAGAGACTCAAGCAACATGGCACAGTAGTGACCTTCACCTTGCCACCCTCCCCCCATTAACACACACACGGTAATAATAAGGACTTCACACAAGTTTATTCAACTCTTGAAATCAGTTACTGAAATGTCTCAGTTCTTTGGGAGGTGTTCACATGACAAAATGATGACATCCCCATTTTGTGTGTATCTCCTTAGTATCTCTTATTGTAGAGCAAGAATTTTAAGTCCCAAGGTAGGTGCTAAATTGGTTTGTAGATAAGCAGTGAGGCCACCATGCCCCTGCATGGCAGTGAGGTCACTGCCTGCATTGCCAGTGAGAGGCCCCAAGACTGGTACCTGCAGAAGCCCATTCTGCTCTCATGCGCGGATGCAGGCTCAGCCCACTGCCTTCAGAGTAAGCAGCACCAGGTTCCTCCAGTGATTCCTTCCCTTCCCGGCTCTGCAGGAACCTCAGCTGTCAATAACAAGTGGATCTGGGTCTTGTGTTTTTAGATACAGTCATGTAACTTTCTGTCTTGTCCTTTATAGAGGATTTGAGATCATACCCAGACTGGGTCTTGGTTTTGTTATGATTGGAGAATAGCACAAACATACTTACTTGTCTGAGCTTCTTAGAGAACTGAGCTAACCTCTTCTTTCTATTCATTCTCAGACAGAAAATTCTGACAGAGAAAGGGATGTTTATGAGGAGCTGCTCACACAAGCTGAGATTCAAGGCAATATAAACAAAGTCAATAGTAAGTATGTCCCTGAGTTAGACACCTATAGTGTAGAACCATGTGAGCGATGGTCTACTCTTGGACTTCTGACACAGCTTAATGTGTTTACTTTAGATATCAGTGAGTTGTTTTAGTCTATGGCCTAGTATCTTTTCATGTGTTCCTATGCCTCTGTTTCAGCTTTCACTATCTTTATGCAAGTCTTAGCTTCTGCCTCTGCAGCAGCTTCTAGAATAGTCTTTTTAGTGACAGTTTTATTCATTTACTCTGTTAGAAACTTTTAAAAAAGTGTTTTGTGTTTTTTTGATTGTTGTTGATGTAGGGTTTTCCATTTTGTTTGAGATAGGATTCTTATTTATAGCCCTGGCTGGCCTGCAACTCACTATGTAGACTGGACTGGTCTTGAACTCAGAGATCCGCCTGCCTCTGCCTCCAGAGTGCTGGGACTAAAGGCGTGCGCCACCATACCTGGCTTATATTTTCCCATTTTAAAGAATGGTACCAGCAAGGCTGATGAGATGGTTCAGCCCATAAGGCACTTGCCTCCAAATTTGACAACTTGAGTTTGATCCCTGGCACCCACAGAGTAGAAGAAGAGAACTAAGAAAGGTGGTCCTCTTGACATGCATGCCCTGGCATGAGTGCTCATATACACATATACACATACATACATACATACATACATAAAGAAATGGAAACTGCAAATAGTATAGTAATTATGACTTCCTAGTATCTGCAATTCTTTTTTTTTTTTTTTTTTTTTTTTTTTTTTTTTTGGTCTTTTTGAGACAGGGTCTCCCTGTAGCCCCAGCTAGCCTACATCTCACTATGTAGAGCAGGCTGGCCTTGAATTCACAGAGATCCGTCTGTCTTTGCCTCCCAAGTTCTGGGATTAAACACGTGTGACACCATGCCTGGCTAGTATCTGTAATTTCTTAAGTCAAAAATTGCCTTATTCTGACTTTTAACATACTAATACTTTATTTTACACTATGTGAAGGGCTTTCATGTGCATGAGTTCATTTAATTTTAAATCACCCTGGTAAGACTATTGTGGAATAAGAATGGGAGGGATGACAGGACAGGGGAGAAGGTGAAAGTATGTATGAATGGACATAATTGATGCATGGTATATGCATTTATGAAAATTCCAGGGATCCCATTAACCTACGTTAATATTTATTCATAAATATAGCAAAAATAGAGAATGAAGCATCACCTTTCCAACACAATAGAAAAACAAATCCCCCTATGAGCCAGATGTGGTAGCACACACCTATAGTCTCTGTACTCATGAGGCTTAGGCAGGAAGATCACTTAAACTCCCAAGTTAAAGACCAGTCTGGGCAACACAATGGGACATCCCTACCTCCAATTACCCTATGAGAAATGTATCTTTATTATCATTTTTTGATGAAGAAATAGTTGAAGGAACTAAGGCTGTTAGGGGCATACTGTCAAAGTATAGGAGAGTTGGGTGAATTCAGTGTGAACTCAATTGTTTTAAGCAAAATTGTAAATCTGCTATGTAACTTGTAAATTGCTATGGAAGACCCCCCCTCCTTTTTTTTTTTTTTTTGGTCTTTTTGAGACAAGGTCTCCCTGTAGCCCCAGCTGTCCTGGAACTCACTATGTAGACCAGGCTGGCCTTGAACTCACAGAGATCTGCCTGCCTCTGCCTCCCAAGTGCTGGGATTAAAGGTGTGTGCCACCATACCCGTCCGGAAGACCCTTTTTTGCTTCGCAGTTTATAAGCATATTGGGAAGACTTGGCATTTTGAGGATTTTAGGCATTGTATTGGTCCAGCTTGGTGGCTCTTATATTAATGCCAAGCCAGCTACACCTGGGAAGCTTCTAAGTAGGCCTGGGATCTGTAGATTCTGATAAAGAATCAATACTTTCTGAAGGACATCTTTTTTCTAGGGACCCTTGACTTGATGGCTTTAAGGTTCTCTTAATCATAAACCTTAACCTGAGGTTTTGTAACATAAAGACTGAGGTTATTTCTGCAATCTGGAACTGACATTGTTTTGGGGGAAAGATAAACATTCTAGGCTATTATGCTAATGTTGGGTTGGTTTTAAAGCCTTTGCCTTTCCCCCCAGCATTTTCTGCATTAGCCAACATCAGCCTAGCTTTGGAGCAGGCCTCTGCTCTGGCCCTGTTCAAGGCTCTGCAGTCACCAGCTCTTGGACTGCGAGGATTGCAGCAACAGAACAGCGACTGGTATTTGAAGCAGCTCCAAAGTGACAAGCAGCAAAAGATACAGGTGAAAATACCCAGGGTGGAGCTTGTGAGAATTTATGTATGTCCATTGGATTCCATGTTTTATCAGATGTTTACGTGACCATTTTTTTCCCCTAATAAAATTATTTTCCTTCATGTAAGTTAGCATGTTTTTAAATTTCTAGAGAATACAATCTCTAAAGCTCAATTTTACCTGTAGGATTGGGAATCCTGTTTTAAAATTAACAGTGTTTCCTCTACCCATGTAACCTTCAGTATGTTCCTTCCCTCTTAGAAAATCTTTGGAGGAAAATCTGAAGTTTTTCCATTCTTCCTTCAGGAATTTCTACTCTAAAAAAATCCTCACTAGTTTCCTCTGGCTAACACTGGGAAAATAATGTTGTATAGCAAATATGGATTGTGTGGGGTTATACTTGTAGGTTTTTTTCCCCCCTTAAGAACAAATATAAAAGCCTTCATTTTTTCTTTGTCTAAATAAGGGGATAAGTATACATTTTACAGATTCCCAGCATATGCTGGTCAGAGTAAGGTATGGTACATTCATGCCTTTGGGATTTCATAAACATTTGTTCATAGAACATTTCAGTGTGTTACACGCACACACACACACACACACACACACACACACACACACACACGTCTCAAATGTATGCAAAGTTTGACCCAGCTATCTCTGAAGACATATGAACATTCCTTTTAACTCTGTAGCTTCAGGTCTGGCTCAGATTTTCTTTTCATGCTGTCTTCCTCGTCTATTATTGGTAGGTTCCTCCATGCAGCATGGGAAGATGGTGCCGGGGGGGGTGGTGGAGGTGGGAGGTATCTGTAAAGCCACTCTGCTCTAGACTGCAAGAGCTTTTGGCTCTACTAGGCAGCCATTTTTGGCTGCATGAAGCCTGGAACTGTCACTTTTGACTGTGGTTCTTTGTCTTTGTCCCTTGTAACTGCTGCTAAGAGATTATCAGGTCTAAAGGCCTGAGCACAAGTAATCATCTCATAAATGTGTTTTGCTTTTCTCAGAGTGGCCAGACTGACCCCCTACAGAAGGAGGAGGTACAGGCTGGAGTGGATGCTGCCAACATTGCTGCCCAGCAGTACCAGAGAAGTAAGAGTCCTCTCAGCCCCAGGCCACTGGAATTTTCAGGGGGAGGAAAGTTGTGGCTTTATGTCATTAAAGGGTCTGAAGTTGACATGTCTCCTGGCACCTGAGCCTGCTAGCCATGATAAAAAGCAAGTACTTTTGGTGGCAATAGGGGCCTTCCAGCAGAACTGAACACTAAGCAGATTCACGTTGGTTAATGAACCCTCCATGGGTGGTTAGGGAAGTATCTGGAGGAGGCAGCACTTAAAAGGATAGTAAGATTGGGACTGTGGAAGAGGAGAGAGGCCATTCCTGATGTGGAACGGTAAGGAGACAGGAGTGGGGGCAGAGTACAGATGGCGAAAGACTGGTTTAAGGAGCAGTGGCTAGAGTCATGCTTTTGTACTTGTTTGTTGTAGTATAAGATGCATTTGGGAAGCTTGTGGGATGCTTTGAAGGGCAGCCTTACTTGGAAGCTGATATTTGATTTGCCAGGCTCCCAGGGGAAGGACGAACTGTTGTAACTAGAGCAATGATAAAGTACATGATGAATAGTGTGGGTGGAAAATGCAGATGAGGAGGAAGATGGCTCTTTTTTCCTAGACCCAAGTTGGCACAATTCAAGGTATTAAGGAAGGGAGGACAGAGGTGTAGGCTATGGGTGATGGGCAGTATATGAAGTCATTGTATAAACATATGACTTGGTATTCACCCTCCTTGGCCCTTGGGATCACCTTGCCTCCTGAAGCTGCCCTTCAGTCATAGCCTGAGCATTGCCAGCTTGGCATAGTCCAGCTTGAAGTTAGATACCAGGTGAATCAGCCACTTGCCTGAGAATACATTGTGGGTGGTAGCCAGCTTGGCACAAGGTGCCTAGCATGATGGGTTTCTTGCTGGTCTACACAGGTTCCCATTGCTGCCTATGGGCTCTGCACATCACCTGTTAGGGATGGAGCCCTGCTCTTGGGCTTCATGCAGCCCAGCCCATATGCTTGGAATTGGGTACACAGGGCCTCTGTAGTGGGTAATTTAGAAATGTGGGTACTTGACTAAACATTCAGCTCAGCCACAGGCTTAGGCAGACCTAAAAAACCAGCCAGGATCTCTGTTCACTGCCATGGCCTCTGCAGTCAGTTGCTCAGCAGTAAAGCCATGTTCTGGCCTTTGTTGTGATCAGTGTGGGCCCAGCTTGGGGCCTGGCTCCATTCTTGCCCAGTTAGACCCTGATGTGCTCCTGCTGAGAGTCCATGCCCCTGCAGCTGCCACAGTGCCTAACTCCCACTACAGGGCTACCACCGCCATCTTCAAGGAGGTGACTTTTCAGAGATGAGAGCTGCACTTCAAACTTTGTGACTGATAGTGTATCTATGGAATGGAACTTTCTTCTATAAAAATTGGTACCTCCTGGCCAGACAATAGTAGCACATGCCTATACCGCCATCACTCCTGAGGCAGGTTTGAGCCCAGTTTAGGCTACATAGTGAAACCTGTTTTTTTAAAAGTAGGGCTAGAGCATTAGGGAGATGGCTCAGCAGGTAAAGCGCTTGCTGTTCAACATGATGACTAGAATTCAGATCCCCAGAACTCATGTGAAAACTGAGTGGGGTGTGGTAGCCCCAGTGCGGGGAAGGCAAGATTGCCTAGCCAGACCAGCCTGAAACTAGGGAGCCCTGGGTTCAGCAAGAGACCCTGCCACTATACGGTGGTGAGTGATCAAGAAAGACACCTAACATGGATTTCAGGCCCCCACATGTGCACCTCCCTTCATCCACACACACACACACACACATAAACATGCATATATGCATGCACTTACCATATACACATATTAAGAAAAGACGAAAGAAAGAAAAAGTCTACACAGTTTCTGCCAGAGCTCTAAGCATTTCTGGCCTATTTTCGACACAGGATTGGCAGCAGTGGCAGCAATTAATGCTGCCATCCAGAAGGGTGTCGCTGAGAAGACCGTTTTGGAGCTAATGAATCCTGAAGCCCAGCTGCCTCAGGTGTATCCCTTTGCTGCTGATCTTTATCAGAAGGAGCTGGCTACTCTGCAGCAGCAGAGTCCTGAAGTAAGTTAGCTTAGCCTGTCCTGTTTGTGAGCATGTAAATTTAATATCCAAGTGTTGGTGTGCTTACTTTTTTTCCAGAGACTTGATTTTCCTGTGGAACTTCTCATTCCCTTGGTACTGGAGAATGTCTTTCCTCACTGTTTTTTTCTTCTCTCCTTCCGTACAGCATAGCCTTACTCACCCTGAGCTCTCTGTTGCTGTGGAGATGTTGTCATCTGTGGCCCTCATCAATAGGGCATTGGAATCAGGAGACATGAATACAGTGTGGAAACAGCTGAGCAGCTCAGTTACAGGCCTTACCAATATTGAAGAAGAAAACTGTCAGAGGTGGGTGCTAGAGCACATGCCTTGAGTCCATTACGTGGCTGTTACCTATGCCTTTTGTGTGTCTACACTCCTGTTTTCATCCCAGGCTTTATGTCTTCATTTTGTGCTGTCAGTACGTTACAGACATCATGCCATTTTGGTTTTTGGTAGCGGTTCTGGGGCTGGAACTCAGGGCTTCATGCATAACTAGGCAAGTGCTCTACCACTGACCTGTATCTCCAGCCTTGACCCTTTTGTATTGTTTTTGTTTAGAGGAATTGCTTGATTTTAGAGTTAGCTTTTCTTAGAACTTAGAATATAACAGACTTTTAAGAATAATTCATCTCCTTGTATAAACATACAGTTCCCAAACTCACCCATAGATGATATTGGGCAGTTAAAAATCCTAGAGATCTAAGTTTTTGCATAATAATCCTAAAGGTCTTTTTGTTTGTTTGTCTTTTATTGGGGTCTGGGGCAGATATCTCGATGAGTTGATGAAGCTGAAAACTCAGGCACATGCAGAGAATAGTGAATTTATTACCTGGAATGACATCCAGGCTTGTGTGGACCATGTGAACCTGGTGGTACAAGAGGAACATGAGCGTGAGTGATCATCCTGTGCCCTCAGAAAAGGATTGAAAAATACTTATATAACTCAAGCAGCTGAGGTTAGATGTTCTTTTCAGAACATCAGACAGTTATTATACCTGGGTTTGTTTCTAATGAGAAATGACTTTTTCAGGAGGTGAATTGAACATGATTGCTAAGTATATAGCAAGTAGCTCTAATATAAACTACTTGGAACTAGATTACCTAGTGCAGACTGAGGACATGATCCTCCACGTAACTCCTCTTAGTTCCTACATTGGCTAGGCCACCTCACTTCAGAACAACTGGCTGTGCATTTTTGGGTTCCCTCTACCTTCTCAAGTTGCTAGAATGACTCATAGGACCAGAAACAAGCTAGACTCAGGATTATAGTTTGATTATAAGGGTGTAGGTCAGGACCAGGCAAAAGAAGAGAGCCTTAGGATGGCATCTGTGAAAGTGAAGTTTATCAACATTCAGGGAAACTCACCCGAGCTTTGAGTATCCAGAATTTTTACTTGACTTCATTATGTATGCTAGACTGATTGAATATTGACCATATATCTGGTGATCAGAGGCCAGACTGATATGCAGCATGGCTAGCCCCATCCCGAAACTGTCTAGCCAGGCCCACCATACAATGCCTCAGTTAGCATTTCAGGTTTGGTAGGAGGTACTGTCCTAAATAACAAATATTTTATCCTTCAGTATATTCCAAGGTTTTTAGAAACTTGGGACAGAGACCAGCCAAATATTGTATTACACAACAGAGTCCTCACAAAAGTAGCATAGCTGCCATAGAAGGTACCTGATGGGTGTTTCTAATTTGTACTAATTTGTATGTCCTGTGAGAAATACTTAGCTGATTTGTGGGAAGAGATTTAATTGGAATGGAAAGCCCTTAGATCTTCAATCTGCCTCTGATTTTCTGTGTAACCTTAGAGAGGAGGAGGTCCCCGAGCCTCCTATTTTCTTCTATAAAAGTGATGAATTAGGTAAATTAAGTGATTTTGACTATACACCTGAATGTTCCTAAAAGCCATGAAGCTAGTGTCATTAAAATCCTGTGACAGGTTGTAGTTTAAATCCTGGTTCAAACTACTCTTGGGTAAGTTTATGATGCGTTAGCATGTTTTTAATTGCTGGTCTTGAACTTACGGGTTCAAGTGACCTTCCTATATCAGCCCCCTGATTAGATGAGACTATAGGACTGATCTGTTTATAAATTTCTTAATATAAATTTCTCTGAATATTTAGGGATTTTGGCCATTGGTTTAATTAATGAAGCCCTGGATGAAGGGGATGCCCAGAAGACTCTGCAGGCCTTGCAGATTCCTGCTGCTAAACTTGAGGGGGTCCTTGCAGAGGTGGCCCAGCATTACCAAGACACACTGATTAGAGCAAAGAGAGAAAAGGCCCAGGTGAGCAGCACCAGGATTGGTCTCTTGATTCAGAGCAATTCATCCTCTTAGAATGAAGGTGGGGATAGTGATGTGTTCTTATTCCATCATTGCCTTCTTCCTGGGCACTTAGAGATTCAGCACTGGAGAGACAGTTATGACAGGCAAACTTTCCACCCTCCAGGAGCTCATGGTGTTTTGCACATTTGGGTTTTTGTTCTTTCTTATAAATGCATCTCTTTAGTTCAGTTCTTTTTATTTATGTTTTATGTGTTTGAGTGCAGGCAGCTTTGCCTGCATGTAAGTGCACCTGTGCAGTGCAATGCTTGTGGAGGCCAGAAGAGGGCATCAGATCTTCTGGAACTGGAATTATGAATGGTTGTTAACTGCCATCCACATTCTAGGAACAGAACCCAGTCCTCTGCAAGAGCATCCAGTGTTCTTAACTGCTGAGCCATCTTTCCAGCCCAAATTCTTTTTATTTTCAATGTAATTTTTTAGTTAGCTTACAAAGTGGCGAGTTTCCTTATGGTATTTTCATAAATACTTAGCTTTGATTGGCTCTACCTCCAACTGCTGTCTCTATCTCTTTGCTTCTGCTTATACCATTCAACTTTATTGAAATCTAAGATCCCCCAAAATGGCAATTCATGAAGTATGCAGTGGTATAAATTTTCAGAAGTGAACTTACTTATATGATTGGTGTTAAGATTGTAGCACATTATCAGCACCTCTGAACTCTTAGTTGTGCTCCCCTTCTTTACCCACCTCCCATTTGATGGTCACCACTATTCCAATTTCAGACGCTACAGTCCACTTTTGCCCAGTATTTAATGGATCCATCCATTGTGTGCTCTTTAGTGTTAGGCTGCTTTTGCCCAACATGCTAGTGGCATTCAAGTATGTGACCACATGCAGTGGTTTGTTCATTGTCATTGTTTTGTATGATTATATATTCTATTACTGGAAAAGTTTTGGTTTCCTAATTCTTGGCCATTTATAAATGGTGCTTCTGTGACTAGTCTGATATGTGTCCTTTGGTAAATAGATGAATATCAATTAGATTATATGGGCTGTGGGCGGTATAGCTCAGTAGTGGAATGCATATGTTCTGCAACACCTCTAAAAAATTCAGTTAGGTATAAATTTAGGACAGCAATTAGTGGGTCATAGGAAATAAATATATACGCTTTCATAGATAATAACCATGAAGTTTATTCTGTAGTAGTTTATTGGAGTATAATTCATGTACCATATACATCAGCATTTTAAAAGGTGTGCAAGTGGTTTTCAAAATATTCATAGAATTGTGTGACTCTCACCACCATCACTTTTAGAGTATTTTCATCATCCCCCGAAGAAGCCCTTGTACCTGTTAGTGATCAGTTCTCCTTATCTCCTCAGTCTTCCCCAGCCCTAAGCAGCTACTGATCTACACTCCATATAAATAGAATCATATAATGTCTTGATCTTTGTGACTGGCTTCACTGAATTCTGTTTATCTTACTTGTAGTGTGTAAGTGGATTTGAAGCATTTCATTTTGCTGTGGAATAACATTTCAGAGTTCATCAAGAGTAGGAGAAGAGAAGAGTTAGAGGAAAATTTGTTTAGCATTGCTGTGCCAAGCCAAGTAAACTACACTTTAGGTGGAATTGTCTTTTTTGGGCATCAGTTTAGCTTCCAGGTTCCTACAAGCCATCTAGGGAATAGTTTTAAAAATAATTATCATTGAGTTCTAAATTTAGCAAGCAAAAGATCTTAATTTAAATTTAGTCTGTAGCTGGGCATGGTGACACTTGCCTGAAATCCCAACTCCTAGTGGAAGCAGGAGAATCAGGAATTCATGGTTGTCCTCAGCTACACAGTGAGCTCATGCCTACTTGGGCTATATGGGACACTATCTCAAATGTAGTTTTCTTCTTTTTTTAAGAACATTTTAATTTGTTCATTTTTATTTTTTGTGTATAATTGTTTGCCTGCATGTGCACTGTGTGCATATAGTGCCCACAGAGGCCAGAAGAGTATCAGATCCCCTTGAACTGGAGTTATGGACAGTTACAAGCTTCTGAAATGTAGTTTTTTTGTATCTTTGTGACTGGAGTTGATACAGGGTAATACTAGCCTTATAGAATGAGTTTGAAGTGTTCCTTCTATATTTTAGAAGAGTTTGTAAAGGATTGGCAAGTCCCTTAAACATATACTAACATTCACCAGAGAAGCCTTATGTCCCGGGGCTTTGTTTCATTGCAGTATATCTTTTGATTATTGTTGCCAAGTATTTTTTCTGCCCTTTATCTCTCCTTTTAGGAAATCCCACTAAGACATTAGCATCATTGATGGAGTTCACAGATCTCAGGCTTTCTCTGTTTTTTTTCATTCTTTTTTTCCTGCTGACTTTCAGACTAGAGCATCTCAATTACCTATCTTTAAGTTACCTCGTTTTTTTTTTTTTTTTTTTTTTTTTTTTTTTTTTTTTTTTTTTTTTTTTTTTTGCAAACATCTCCCTTTTTTTTTTTTTTTTTTTTTT